CCTTCCAAGGATTTTTCAAGGTCAGTACCATACTTCCCCCGTGTAACCCTAAACTTTTCATACGAAACATTTTTCTCTATCCCTACTAGTTTTCGAGATATTTGACTGGATCACTTCAGATGGTCCACCCTGTATAATCTACCAAATACGTAGGGATTTTACGATAAATTAAAAACTTTTTTTTATAAACAATTTAGTATGAAATTTTTATGCAAAAAAATCAATTTTTTTTCAAATGTTCGCCATTTTCTCAAAAAAAGATATTTTTGAATTCCCCTACGTAGTTCGGTAGTTTATGGCACATATTTAAAGAAAACATTTCCAGGTTCAAATCTGAGGGCGGCACCGGTTCGCCCGTTTTGGAACCCGATATAATCGGACTTTCGAGAATGGACTCTGAAGCCGCCATTTTGTAATTAAAAAATGAAAACAAAAATTTTTTTTACACATCAAAAGACACTTAATATAGTACTTCGAGAAAATTCAACTGCTTTTACTGTACGCTTGAAAAAAATTCTCAAAATTTGTCTTTTTTTTGAGGCGCAAGGTGGTGTAACCCCTTATTAAGTCAGTATGACAAAGGTGCTAAGGAGAGTACTAAACATGGCCGATATGCTATGAAACTGCCTTTAAACTATGTCAAACAAGATAAGACGTGTAGGATAATGTGAGGTAGAATGTATAGGATAAAATGAAATAGAAATATGTCACTAGTACTATAAATGGCTGCCAAGTCACGCAATTGGTCAGATTGCAACAGCGAATTAAAATGCATAATACCGGTTGCGCCTCTCTGATAAATCTAGGACTCTATAGTGTCACCGAGCGTTGGGGCACATGAATCCAACTGCTCCAACCGCCATCCTACCGGTGATCCAAGTGCTCTCTAGGTTAATTTGGAGTAAGCGACGCAAACAAACCTAATGTGAAAATTACAAAAGTGAGCAAATTTACTAGGTGTTGACCAATGAAATTATCATTATTCTAGTAAATTCGCTCACTTTTGTAATTTTCACCTCGTTTCAAGATACAGAATCGATACCTCGATTTGCTCGAAGATCACGTGGTCAAGCTCATCATCTGCTAGCTCGCATCTCAGATTTAAGCTGGAAACACAATAGACACAAGCAATAGGCACAGGCAACAGGGAATAACGAGCCATACAATCAGAATTCTGGGATATAATATCGAACTTATACCCCAAAGCTCTGATTGGACGACTCGTTATTCCCTATTGCCTGTGCTATTGTGTTTCCAGCTTTATGTACATACGAATGAAATAAAGAACTGTGTAATGGAATTTCGATAATTCGAATTGGTAACACTGACGCCGTCACCCTCTTTGCTTCGGATTTCGGATTTCAGTGGCAGGAGCTAATAAATAAGAATAAGAACGTTATTTAACAATAACAGTTAGATCAAAACAGATCAAAACAATCTATGGAATGGACAGTGAGGTGAATAAATCTCTCCAAGGACATCGGAGTTTATTTATATATGTCCTAGTTTGCACTTGATAGTCTTGATACGTGCACTATTTGCACTAATAACTTTGTATTAAATTATCTTAATTTCAACAATTTATTTAAAGAATTGTGTATTAAGGACAATATAAATCTATATGATTAATTAAAGCCATATTGTGTATATGTTTACGCATATCACCGAAATTAGATAATTTAATGGAAAATTACTGGTTAATACGCATATTAAATGCTCAGTGTAAACAAAGGCTATGTTCAGTAGAGAAAGCAGCTGTGCAACTGTTGTAAAGCTGCTTTCTCTACTGAATGCAGCCAAGGTCTATATAGAAAATAATATATTATTAGCTTAATTATAAATAATTATTGAGAATATAATTTTATTATTAATAATTATTGTAGATAAATTATGCGATTAATATAATCAGAACATTTACGTGTAAGATATAATCGTTTACATTTCATATATACAATATAAACTGTTTGTTTCATATCTGCATAAACTATAAACAATCTATGGATTATTGAAGCTTATGTTCATTGTCGTTATACTGATTGCACTAAAACTTCTATTTTATATTTCTACTTATCAATGAGTCAAATACATTAACCATCATAAAACTTAATTATTTCTTTTATTAGTAATATTGTTTTATCCAATTTATAATAATTTTCATATTTTACATTACTGATATATTGTCTGTGTTCCAAAATTTATTACTAAAATCATATAGTACATGTAACATGAACTGAAGATTTTCAGCGCTGGCAATAAATTTGGAATGTAGCCATGTTTGTTTACATGTAAAAGAGTTGACAGAGTTGAAAAAAATTTAACATAAACCATACGTAAATATTTTTTGTATAGACATAATCTTGAAATATGCAGCATAACTCTGGTAATATTAGTTTTATTGATAGTTTTATGAATAGTTATTAATTATAACTTCATTATTAATAGTTATTAAGGATGGAACTTATAAGAAATATTAATTAGTAATTAATTAAAAACAGGTAGGATCACTATCATCATGCAATGATTCAGTTTTTATTGCAACTGGTGTTGCAAAATGCCAAGAAGGAAACACATCAGCTGAGGAAGTCTCTTTGCTTCGAGATTTGCAAAGAGCCATCTTGGAAACAACAGAAGAGAATGCTGCATATACAAAGGAGATGACGACTTTATTAGCTAAATTGAATCTTGATGTCAAAACATTACCTAACGACATAAAAGAAGGTTTAGAAAAAGTATCTTCGATCCTGAAAACTGAAAAGCTGTTTGAATTTGATGAAACGTCATTGCGGGTGGTTAGAGAACGAAAGATCATAGAAGAAAAAAGGCGGGAGCGAGAAGAGAAGCAAATGTCCGTACAGTATGATAAATTATTTAGAAATTGTACAAAGTTGCAGACAAAACTTGATCATCTTCAAGATGCGGTCGATGCTCTCAAGAACTCTATCGATGTTACAGAGAAAGATAAGAATGATGTGTATTGCAATAAGGTTTTTCTGTCTACAAAATTAA